CCCCGAGCGTAGCGGAGGTCCCACAGGATGGTCTGAGTAGTGCCAAGTCAGCTTTCTATGTCCCTCACTTATTATTATGTCTTTACAAAGGGAGATCTAGATGGCCACGGTTAAATAGGTTAACATTTTGATTTAAAGCTTTCGTGACTGCAGTGATTCATATTCTTGGTTCTTTCGGTAAAGTCACGTTGAAGGGAAACAATAAAATAAAAATATATAAATCAATAAAATTCTCACGACGTTTCGACTGCAACACAAGCAGTCATCATCAGGTGTGAAAACCTGATGATGTGAAAACCTGATGATGACTGCTTGTGTTGCAATCGAAACGTCGTGAGAATTTTATCATCATCACACCTGATGATGACTGCTTGTGTTGCAGTCGAAACGTCGTGAGAATTTTATATATTTTATTATTTTATTGTTTCCCTTCAACGTGATTTTACCGAAAGGACTAAGAATATAGGTTAACATTTGTATGACTACGCAGTCATTGCATAAAATGCACACGTGACACTGGCAAGTAATGTACTACATACATTTATATTTATTACAAATGAAGAGTGACACTGGCGTGCAGGCTGAAGTGGTGGTACACACTGCACTACGAACCCGATGGACCGAGTTCCATTTCTGGCCATGGCTATCATCGCGTTGGTGAGTGAAATCTGAACCGGTTATGGGCCCTACCGCTTTGCCAGCCCAAATTGACCATTGTTTTGAAGTACCGGTCAAAGAACCTTCATGAGGGGGTGGGGGGAGGGGGAGGCCTTAATGCGGCAGTGGATTGACGATGAATTGTAAATCATCATTCTGCTTATTGATTCACAAGACTCCTTCGCAATTATGTCTGTCGCCTGATGAAGCTGGTTGTAATCGCCAGTGAAACGTCCTTTTCTCGACTTGTAACTGCTGCGGGTTTACTCTCCAACACACCGGCGCGCTGACGACGTAGTAACTCATTGGCACGTTTCGTTTACGTGACAAATCGTGCTAATTGGCTGTGTCGGGTGGTGGCGGGTTTAACGACACATTTATATATTTACGCGATCTAACCCCCCCAACCCCCCCCCTTTATAATACACATTACTATTAATTGTCGGCAAGACATAAAATGTTTGCGAGCGATGTCGGTGCGCGTTGCCTTCGTGTCCCCTTCCCAGCAGATGGCAAACTCCTGGGGAAAAATCCGCGCGGACGCCGCCGGCTCCAGCAGCGTCCGCGCCGTGCACGGCGGAGTCGGCGCGGCGTGAACGGCGCGCAGACCCACGGCCGATTTGTCCTCTCGCCACTCCGTGTCCCAGGCTGCGGGGGTGTATTGAGTCTCGTGTGTGTGTGCATGGAGTCTCGTGTGTGTGTGTGCATGGAGTCTCGTGTGTGTGTGTGTGTGTGCATGGAGTCCCGTGTGTGTGTGCTTGTGCGTGCGTGGGGGGGGGTCTCTCACTGGCTAAGTCTCAGAAAGCTAAGCTGGTAACCGCAGCCCGAGTGATCCCTCTTGCCCCTCTCTCACAGGTTCCCACTTCCCCCCCAGGCCCCCCGGGAGGACTGGGGGGGGGGGGGGTGTGCGAGCCCCCCACAGCTAAAGGATTAGCGCCCCCCCCCAAACACTTAAAACACCAGTCAAATATGTTGTCACGATTCGTGTCACAGCCGTTCCTCGTGTCCACGGCGTCAGCGGCTCGGCCAGAATGCAACGAAAGACAAACCCAGCGCAGACCACTTCGTTACTCGTTCCGCTTAGCGTTCATCACAAAAAATGCGTCTTTAAAAAAAGAAAAAGTTGGCTTAAGATGAATTGTGTCTAGCCCTCACCTGCGATTAGCACGGTTGGATACGTACGGTTCGAAAGAAATTCAACGTAGTTTAACGCGTAGGCTTTCGCGACCAATATTATTCATAATAAATGTTTTTAGGTTAGATCGCGTTATTTATAAATGTGTCGTAACCCTCCACCACCCGACACGGCCAATCAGCAAAAAAGTGTCACGTTGACAAAAGACAATTAGTTCACTACTTTAGCCCACCAATGTGTTGAAGAGTGAATCCACAACATTTACAGTTTGAATACGACGTTTCGCTGGTAATTACATCCAGTATCATCGGGCAATTCGCCAGAATCTGGGCTAAAGTAGTGGTGGAGGGTTTCGACACATTTATAAATAACGCGATCTAACCCAAAAACCTTTATTATGAAATTCAACGTACATGCATAACACAAGGTCGCGCTACAGGATTGGCCCACAGCCATCATCATCGGGCGCTCCAGGTGCTACCACCCTGCCGGCTGGCTCAGTGTGGGGGGCTGTGTTAGTCTCACAGTGTGGGGGGCTGTGTTAGTCTCACAGTGTGGGGGGCTGTGTTAGACTCACAGTGTGGGGCTGTGTTAGTTTCACAGTGTGGGGGGCTGTGTTAGTCTCACAGTGTGGGGGGCTGTGTTATTTTCATAGTGTGGGGGGCTGTGTTAGTCTCACAGTGTGGGGGGCTGTGTTAGTCTCACAGTGTGGGGGGCTGTGTTAGTCTCACAGTGTGGGGGGCTGTGTTAGTCTCGCAGTGTGAGGCTGTGTTAGTCTCACAGTGTGAGGCTGTGTTAGTCTCACAGTGTGAGGCTGTGTTAGTCTCACAGTGTGAGGCTGTGTTAGTCTCACAGTGTGAGGCTGTGTTAGTCTCACAGTGTGAGGCTGTGTTAGTTTCGCAGTGTGAGGCTGTGTTACTCTCACAGTGTGGGGGCTGTGTTAGTCTCACAGTGTGAGGGGCTGTGTTAGTCTCACAGTGTGGTCGGGCTGTGTTAGTCTCACAGTGTGAGGGGTTGTGTTAGACTCACAGTGTGGGGCTGTGTTAGTTTCACAGTGTGGGGGCTGTGTTAGTCTCACAGTGGGGGGGGCTGTGTTAGTCTCACAGTGTGGGGGGCTGTGTTAGTCTCACAGTGTGGGGGGCTGTGTTAGTCTCACAGTGTGGGGGGCTGTGTTAGTCTCACAGTGTGGGGGGCTGTGTTAGCCTCACAATGTGGGGGGCTGTGTTAGTCTAACAGTGTGAGGCTGTGTTAGTCTCACAGTGTAAGGGGCTGTGTTAGTCTCACAGTGTGGGGCTGTGTTAGTCTCACAGTGTGGGGGGCTGTGTTAGTCTCACAGTGTGGAGCTGTGTTAGTCTTACAGTGTGAGGCTGTGTTAGTCTCACAGTGTAGGGGGCTGTGTTAGTCTCACAGTGTAAGGCTGTGTTGGTCTCACAGTGTGGGGGCTGTGTTAATCTCACAGTGTGAGGCTGTGTTAGTCTCACAGTGTGAGGCTGTGTTAGTCTCACAATGTGAGGCTGTGTTAGTCTCACAATGTGGAGGTGTGTTAGTCTCACAGTGGTCAGGCTGTGTTAGTCTCACATTATGAGGGGCTGTGTTGGTCTCACAGTGTGGAGCTGTGTTAGTCTCACAGTGTGAGGCTGTGTTAGTCTCACAGTGTGAGGCTGTGTTAGTCTCACAGTGTGGGGGGCTGTGTTAGTCTCACAGTGTGGGGGGGCTGTGTTAGTCTCACAGAGTGAGGCTGTGTTAGTCTCACAGTGTGGAGCTGTGTTAGTCTCACAGTGTGAGGCTGTGTTAGTCTCACAGTGTGGGGGGCTGTGTTAGTCTCACAGTGTGGAGCTGTGTAGGTCTTACAGTGTGAGGCTGTGTTAGTCTCACAGTGTGGGGGGCTGTGTTAGTCTCACAGTGTGGAGCTGTGTTGGTCTCACAGTGTGGGGGCTGTGTTAGTCTCACAATGTGGGGGGCTGTGTTAGTCTCACAGTGTGAGGCTGTGTTAGTCTCACAGTGTAAGGCTGTGTTAGTCTCACAATGTGGGGGGCTGTGTTAGTCTCACAGTGTGAGGGGCTGTGTTAGTCTCACAGTGTGAGACTGTGTTAGTCTCACAGTGTGGAGCTGTGTTAGTCTCACAGTGTGAGGCTGTGTTAGTCTCACAATGTGGGGGGCTGTGTTAGTCTCACAGTGTGGGGGGCTGTGTTAGTCTCACAGTGTGAGGGACTGTGTTAGTCTCACAGTGTGGGGCTGTGTTAGTCTCACAGTGTGGGGGGCTGTGTTAGTCTCACAGTGTGGAGCTGTGTTAGTCTCACAGTGTGGGGGGCTGTGTTAGTCTCACAGTGTGGGGGGCTGTGTTAGTCTCACAGTGTGGGGGGCTGTGTTAGTCTCACAGTGTGGGGGGCTGTGTTAGTCTCACAGTGCGAGGCTGTGTTAGTCTCACAGTGTGGAGCTGTGTTAGTCTCTCAGTGTGAGGTTGTGTTAGTCTCACAGTGCCGGGCTGTGTTAGTCTCACAGTGTGAGACTGTGTTAGTCTCACAGTGTGTGCGGGGCTGTGTTAGTCTCACAGTGTGAGGCTGTGTTAGTCTCACAGTGTGGGGGTGTGTTAGTCTCACAGTGTGAGGCTGTGTTAGTCTCACAGTGCGGGGCTGTGTTAGTCTCACAGTGTGAGACTGTGTTAGTCTCACAGTGTGTGCGGGGCTGTGTTAGTCTCACAGTGTGAGGCTGTGTTAGTCTCACAGTGTGGGGCTGTGTTAGTCTCACAGTGTGAGGCTGTGTTAGACTCACAGTGTGGGGCTGTGTTAGTCTCACAGTGTGAGGCTGTGTTACTCTCACAGTGTGGGGGGTCTGTGTTACTATCACAGTGTGGGGGGCTGTGTTAGTCTCACAGTGTGGAGCTGTGTTAGTCTCACAGTGTGGAGCTCTGTTAGGCTCACAGTGTGAGGCTGTGTAAGACTCACAGTGTGAGGCTGTGTTAGTCTCACAGTGTGGAGCTGTGTTAGTCTCACAGTGTGGGGGGCTGTGTTAATCTTTCAGTGTGGAGCTGTGTTAGTCTCACAGTGTGAGGCTGTGTTAGTCTCACAGTGTGGGGGGCTGTGTTAGTCTCACAGTGTGATGCTGTGTTAGTCTCACAGTGTGGGACTAATAGGGAGTAGAGCTGTGCAGGTGGTGCGTAACAACGCCCCCCCCCTCCACCTCCCACCGCCCACAGCAGACAAAGCGATGTAATTTCCTGCGCGCTTGACTCAGTGGGCTGAAAGGAGCTTTTAAGGGTTCGCGGATTAGGAGACGAGAATAAGTCGCGCGCGCTCACATCGGGCTTGGCTGCAGGTTGCACAGAGTTGACTCGACCCGTCAACGCAAACGCCTGGGCTGACACCCATTCAGCCTACTCGTCGTGATTGCGACGGTGAATTGTAACTTGATTTTCCGCTGCCGAAAAGTGACAATAGGCGGGTGTACACCGGACAAACGTCGCAGTCTTGCGGTGTATCGTCAGGTGAGCAATTTTCCATTCAAGTTGAACACCCGGGAAATTAAAGTTCGTTCGTTGGTATTGTTGGCTCTTTCGGTAAAGTCACGTAGAAGGGAAACAATAAAATAATCAAAACATAAAACAACATTTTATTGTTTCCCTTCTACGTGGTGACTTTACCGAAAGAACCAAGAATACGAATCCCTGCAGTCACGAAAGCTTTAAATCAAAATTTCGTTCGTTGCTTTTTGTTTTCGGAAATCGAACACGGCTTTAGTTGTCGCGGGTACAGAACGAGGGAGCCGGCAGGTGGATCGCTTTCAGAGAAAGAGAGAGAGAAAAAAAAACGACGTTGTTGTTTTGTTTTTACCCTCTGGGGAACAGATCCCTCGGTCCGCAGCTCGGCCATGCGGCAGCTCCGCCATGCGACGGTGGCTTGGCTTTGCCTGGCCGCTCTGTGCGCGCTCGCGCCCGCGATGTCTGCCCAGGCGATCTCGGGCAACTCCTCGAGCTACCCCGCCTACCCGTCCATCACCAGCAGCCCGCTCACGGTGGACGCCAGCTATCAACCCGGCAGCATCGAGCCGCTCTTCAACATGACCAACTACTTTCTGAACGTCGTGCAACCTCGCGCTTGGCCCTCAGGTGAGAGAGCGGTCGGTAGCGACGGGTGGCAGCTGCGACTGGCACGGCTTTGTGTGTCTCGGTCAGTTAAACAAAAAAAAATCCCAGCCCATGCTTGGTTAACCCTGGGTCTGTCCCGTGACCTCTGACCCTCGGAGAGGCTTCCTTCGGGACGATTCACGTGGCCTCAAAGTGCACCTGGCCTGGCACAGGGCGGGCTGCCGTTTGGTGACGCCAGTGTCCCTTAGTGGCGAATGGCGAGTCTTGTATTGGTGCGCTGCCATTCTTGTTAAATAAGTAGACGATAGTCATTATAGTAATGAGTGTACGCACGTTTGATAATTTTCGCTATTCTAAGAGGAAAACGCTATCACCGAAGACGCTGCGATTCACGGAATAGTGGTCTGTCGATGGTGGGGGTTGGCAATGTCACTGTGGGTTTATCCAATTTAAGTAATTTTCGAGTAATTTGTTTCACTTTGGACCGTGACGCCGGCACGCAATGCATCTACTCCGTTTTCGAATTACATCACAGGATTGTTTCACGCTCACCGCGAACCACACGACGGCGTATATTTGTTTCATGGTAAACGCACCCACAATATAAACCAGGATGGCCATTGCGAGTGGACCCTTAACCTCTGCAACAAGTGGAAATATAGGCATTGTCATATTGGTTTATTACACATCAGACAAAATTCTCCCAGGGGATTGTGGGATACCAGTGTTGTCCATACTCTTTGTTGCTGTTGTCATCACTTAACAGCGTAATGGTTGAATTGTATTGAATTCAAACTCTATACAATAAAACATGTCCCTGGATTGTTTTTCCTTCTATGATGTACAGGGTGTCGATAACGGTGTGATGTATTATTTAAGATTAATGATGATGCCTGCTGGCTCCAGCTCTGCCTCAATGAGGGCCTGCAGGGCAATTGGGTGGGGACTCCCCATCAAAGTAACTTCATCTTTCGTATGGCTGATGGAGATGCGGAGCATCAACTACAATCTCACATTCAGGTGGTCAAGCCCAGATAACCGCTTCGTGAGCAGCGGAGTGCATCGCTGCGATGTTTCCTTCGTATTTGTGCATCGGGCATTGCGTTGTTAACTTGAGTGATTTTCATCACAGAGTCGATTTAAATGAGGACGGAGATGGCAGAATAGAGTTGTCGAGAGACGAAACTTGGTGTATTGCAGGTACTTTGGGGCAGCAGCTACATAACATGCTTTTGATGAAAATAGCGGAACTATTAATAGACAATTAAACCACACACACGCCTGGCAGTATAAACATTGTACGGCAGTTGAATCTTTCTACACCGTCAAAAGGTCTACCGTGGCACTAGTGACACGTCATTATTATCGAGATTTGAGACTTTTCCATGGATGTGGCAACGTCTCAGGTGTGATTGTAGCGATTGCTTTTGGCATGCGCCAATGTACGTGTTTTATTTAACTTCTTTCGCACCGCACGTAGCCACCCGTGGTCATCGGAGGTGCGGGGGAAGAACAAACAATTCAGCTTTGCATTTCAAATGTGGCCAAACTCGACCATGCGAGTTCATACGGAGTTGTAAACGTGGGGGGAGAGAGGGACGGCACGAAGAAGGATGGGGGGGGGGGGTTACAGAGCCTGTTCTGTTATCACTGGTCACTGATGTTCGCCGTGTCCGGGAAACCAACTCTGATCGCGGGGTGTAAATGCACGAAATGCGAGCCACCACGCCCAAGCCTCTGTCTGCACGATCTAAGGCAAAGCTGGCTCACTCGAATGGTTTTTGAATAGACATTTTCAAAGAAATAAATTACCTCCTTGAAGTGGGTTATCATTTAAATAAACTTCTAATGTCTTTTGATGTTCCTAATGACCTGATTTTTACGTATAATTATTATTGGCAAATCAGTTTGCTATCCAGCCCAACCGGTTTATTTTCCTTCACTGTAAAAAAAAAATGGTCCAGTCATTGTGTGCGGTTGGTGTGTTTTTTTTTAGCCCCCCAGATTATCTTTTTTTATGTTGTTTTGCCTGGCACTGCCGGGCTGTCCCTGGGCACCTTTTAACGGCGCGTAGCCACCTCCCGTCTCGCGCCTCCTCCACCCGTGCTTCGTCCAAACCCCGAGAACCACCGGAGCACGGGGTTTGACAGTTCGATTCCCACACCCACAAGGAACCTTACCTGCACAGCGACGTATTTTGGCAGCGGTCCGTGTGCGCAGCTTTTAAACGAGAGCGCAAAACCCCGCGGCGCGGAGCCGTCCCTAAGGTGCACGGCGATAGCCCCGGGCCCCGCGCTTTGGGGGGACCCCCCCACCCCCACCGCGCTTCGACGTCCACGGTGTCAGATGAGATACTTCCTGTTTAGTTTGACGATTATCTGAACTGGTTCTGGGCCTCTCCTAGGTCGACTCGGCCTCAAATGAGTACCTGGTGCGGTGTGTTAACATCGCCACTGGGGAGACAAAGGCGGCCGGGCGTGGTTCTGGCCACTCAATCCCTCGTGTCCCGTTACCGGTCTTCATAGGTGCTCGCTTCCAGAACTTGCCCCAACAGTCTGTTAAGGCTATACGGGGGATCTATGTCTTTGTTATATTCATTGGGAAAGATGTGTGGTGTAGATATGATGAAGGGTAAAATAGGTTGTCGAAGGAGGAACGAGTGTTGAAGGACGTCCTTACTGAAATTATCCCTTCGCTTACTGGTTGCCGTTTTTGTAGTAGTGTAGTGCAGCCTAAGCACATTCGAATCTGTAAAATGACGAGAAAAGCCATCGAAGAAAATACCAAAGGCTACGTTTGCGCAACGTCGAATCAAGGTGGCTTTAATCGTGCCCCCATCACAACACGGGCATTCGATTGCAAATTTCCGCCACTCCGTGTGGCGATGGGGCGAGGTGAGCTCTCGCCACTTGAAACGAGTGCCACGATGCAACATTTGCACGGTTACTTTTTTAAAATGTAAAAAAAATCGATTTTTCACCGCGAGGTATAAACTCTAAAAAATGACACCGCAAACTCTCGTCCAGATTAACCCATTCGGTTATTGGCGAGTATATAGCCACCAGCATTCCCAATGCAAATAGAACTAATGCAGGGGTGTGCGGAAACCCAGACATTTATCATTTCCCTAAGTCGCATTCTAGACTTGCGTGACAGACAGAAGCGGCGTATTGTTAGCACTGCACACGCGTTTCAAGACGTGCTCTGGGATATGTGGGCCCCTCCTGGGTCAATATGGTTCCAATCCTGATTCTCCAGAACGAACCGTGTTCTGTATTTGGGGGCAACGCTACTCTTCTAAAACTCACCTGCAAGAGGCAACTAAGAGGGACGCATCTTGTGTTGTTTGTGCACCAGCTCCCGTTCGACCACATTCTTTTCATCCACTTCAGTGAGACATTTATAAAACAAGGCCGAAAACACAAGGCGCCTCGCTCTTTACATGTTATCTGATGCCCCGATGTTTAGCAATACAAATGTAAAATGGCAGTATAGGACGCGTCGCAGATGAGATATGATCGCTCGCTACGACTGTCCTTCACACAAAGGGTCACTTGATGCTGTGCAACGCTCTCGGGGGGGCGGGTCCGAAGAGTCGGGTCCCCTGCTGGGGTAATCCAACACCAAGTAGAACTCTGACCACTGATGAACACCGCCCCCAGCCGCCCCCCCCCCGCCACGTCTGGCCGAGTGGCACGTGTTTCTCCTGATTTCACAGCGGTTGTTGTTTCTAAGGTGCTGCTTAGCACCCCCATGAACACCGCTGTATCCGTCAACAGACGTTGCACCGAGTGAACATTTTTAACAATTGATGCCTCCCCCTAGTGACCAAGCCTCGAGTGATGGTGGGCCCCCCTCGTGTGATTTAACGCAGCATTGTCACGATTCAGGGGCTGTGATTACGAGTCGCTCCGTTGTGTTCGTCCCCTGCCTCGTTTGTGTAGTCCGTCTCGCACGCTCGGACCCCATTTGTCACGCCACATTCGTTCCATCGGCCTTAAAGGCGACAGTCGCATTCAACCCAGGTAGCGCTCGCAAAATAGGTAACGCCTGAGTGGGGGGTTTGTTTCATCACGCGGTTAAATCAAGGATCCTGACTGACTGCATCAAACAAGAATCGGCGGTGAGTAATATCTGAGCTTGGTGAAGTATGGTCAAAAAGTTCCCATGACATCAAGGCATCGGGAGGTCTTCCACCCAGCAAGTGGATTGACTCACTCTTGTGCCACTCGTCGCTCTTGTAATCTAACAGTTTTTTGAGCCGATGACTGAATCGCTGGAAACGTGCTCCACCTCGGAAGCTCTGCACAGCTGAACTTGGATAGCCTTTGCAATGGGCAACCACTTTGCGGCCAATATACATCGTTTGGTGATGTTGCTTCATTGGCTGGGTTGCACAAGCACAGTTAACAAAAAAACAAAACACAACACAGCCGTCAAAGACTCTGCCGCTTTTAAATATAAAGTAAATAATCTGCGCCGTATTCATTTTCTTGGTTCTTTCGGTAAAGTCACGTCGATAGAAAACAAAAATCTAAGTTAAAAGCAAAAAAACCGCCCACAACGTTTCGATCGCAACACAGGCGGCCTTCATCAGGTGTTTTCTATCTACGTGACTTTACCGAAAGAACCACGAATATGAATTCCAGCGGTCACGAACGTTTTAAGTCTACCTTTAACCTACACCGTGTTAAGCAATGGCTTCTCTTCATAACACATGAGGAGCACAGAGAGCAGATTGGATGGAGTTAATAAGGGTTGGAGACATCACTCAACACCATGGGGCCTGATCAGATGTACATGTTTTAAAGTTTATTCCGATTACTGGTCATTAAATAAGTATTGTGAATCGTTGCCTAATAGTGGGAATGTGTGGTTCTTGTTGTGAGTGCAAGGCGCAATCATGGGTTGCCAGAGGCTTGCCGCCCTTGTCAGCAGAGGGCTGGTGCAGTAAATAAAATCCAATGCGTACTCCCAATGTCGTATTCTCCCCGCATTCGCCAACACGCGCTGGCCAGCAA